TGTCCGAGAGCACATTCACGCGTTAAGGTAGTATTAACTTGCTAACAATAAAAGCGTGTCGAACTGCTTTCATCGGCATTTTGCAACCTTTATCATAATTTCGTTTTGTTAATTGGTTTCAATTTTATTTTCCAGGTGATGTGGTTTCATATAAATCAATCGATACGGTTACAAACGACGATGGTGTTGTGCATTATTCAGCTGAATTTTTAAATTCAGTGGATGTACCTGGGCTGCCACCACACAATTTGCGGCTGAAAGTTGGTGTCCCAATAATTATGCTTCGTAACATAAGTCAATCGAAACTTTGCAATGGAACCCGATTAGTCGTAAAAAAAGCTGATGAAAAATGTTATCGAAGCAACTATATTGAAAGGAAAATTCAAGGGTGAAGACGTGTTGATATCACCAATCCCAATGATTCCAACTGATATGCCATTTAGTTTTAAGCGGTTGCAATTTCCAATTCGAATTGCATTTGCAATAACCATTAATAAATCTCAAGGACAATCAATGGAAATTTGTGGTATTAACTTGGAATATCCCGTTTTTTCCCATGGCCAATTATATGTTACCTGTTCACGTGTTGGTAAACCACAGGCATTATATATTTATGCTAAAGATAGCCAAACTAAAAATATTGTGTATCGTAAGGCATTGAATTAAAATATAGAATAGGATAATGTTTTCATTTATATTTTTTAATAATTAATAAAAAGAAGAACAAATTCATTTGTTGTGTTTGAGAAAAAATTTGCGTCCAGCGAAGCGGACGGGGTTTGCTAGTTTAATATATTATTGGATATTCAACGTTTTTGTCAATTTTCATTGATCCTATATTTCTCCTATAAAAAAAATGACGGCTCCTATATACTCCTATATTTTTTGTCTCAATTTCACTCGATCTCCTATATTTTCGGAAAAATGATCTGGCCACATTACGAATAAAGCATGAGAATAAAGCGTGGCGCAACTATCTTTCCCAAATACATATATCATTGAAGTCAATGGAATACATAAGAGTTCAAAAGCGCATCACCCAATGGGGAATTTGTAACGACAATTTCTATTAAAAGTGTGTACACACTTGTAACGTTAATTTAGTATGGCAAAGTGTGCGAATTTTTGTATACATTTCATGCACAGTGTGTATAAAATATGTACATATTCGAATAAGAACGCAGTTAATACGTATGTACACAATGCGTCCGTAATATGCACAATCTGTGCACAAAACCACCAAAAATTGCACATCTTTTACAATTAAGTGAAACTTATGCTATATAAGCTGTGAAAAATCTCGTTGCAACGAAAATTGTGTTCTTTACATTTGTAAACCAAACTTGGCTAATATTCATTCATCACCATGATCATGGATCGACCCCCTCAAAAAACATTATACCATATATATAAATAAAAAATTGATTGTTTTATTATTCCATGAAAAATCTGAATTAAAAGAATATGATCATTTTGAACACTTTTTTTAAATTTACGAGTGAAACAAAAATGAATTGAAAATGGATCTCGTTTTTAATCGATTCTCGTTTCAGGTTTGAGCGGTTCACAATATTACACTCGGTTTCACTCAATACAATGCAAACATGTTTTACAGTGTGTGAACGAGAGGTATAAAAACAAATTCATTTTCGAAAGGCAAGCAAAACATTTTGGCTTTAATATCATGCAATTCAAAAAATGTTGGTTCACTTTTTTCACCATCGCCAATAAAAATGTTCAAACATTTAGATTGAATTGGTGTTTGAAAAAAATTACGAGTATGTTTCAAAGTCGAGCCCCAAATGAGATGCTTCATATTCGCTAAATTTCTGACAACGTAATGAAATGCTATAATATGATCAGAGAATGTAATGAACCAAATATTTTTTGAATTTTTTTCTTCACTCGAGAGCATAGCGCTGGGATTATATTTGACATAGCGAAATCCTATTAGATCAGAGCGATTAGGGAAATTGAATTGATTTTTAAATAGCGGAAATTCACTTTGAGGCTCAAAATTAACTGTTTTAGTGGATATTTCAACAATACGTCTAGCTATTTGTTCCAATGGTCTGTTACATTGTTTCAAACGAAGTTTTAAATGGTGCAAAGAATTTTCGAACTCATATGCACTGATTGTGTCCAGGGAACCGAAACGTTCAACGTCGTCTACAATATGATTCAAATTGTGAATGTTCATTGTTATGCTATGTTCACCAAAAATATTGATATGATCTTCAATGAATTCATTGAATAGCTTTTTCGCTATAGGTAAATACGGTGCATAAACATTAGTTGAACATATGGTTACTGCACAAAACAGTTTAAGAAACATTTCGTATTCCCAGTGAGTCAAATAATTTTTTAAAACTACAATTCCAATGTACATCAAAAATTCTCTGAATTCCGTTCCCTTCCAATACTTTATACATTTAAAAGAGCGAACGCTTCTGTGAATTTCTGTCGGCCTAGTGAAGTTACAGTTTTTCAGAAAATCAGATATTTTATCCTCCTCTCTTTTTGACCAAGTTCTAGCAATTCCTTTTAGCTGTCCTAGCCACATTAGAAGTAATCTAAGTAAAAATAGAGTGGAAATTGAATTTGAAAAATTAATTTCTCTTCAAATTAAATAAATTCCTCCAAAACTAGGAGTTTCTAATTTGCTTCAAATGATTTGTTAGTGCTCATAATAGCCTGAGTGTGTATTTGCATTAGGATCACCTTTTCATAACTCCTAAATGTAATAAATGGAGAGCATCTGATGTGACAAAATCACGCACCATATCTATCTGCAATTCTTCGATTATAGAATCTTCATTATGGTGCTGCGGCTGGAAGCGATTACGAAACCGATCGTTTGTTCTCAACTCTTTTTGTCTCTCCTCATCTGTTATAGCAATTCGAGGAAAAGCTATTTTACTGGATCGCGTGAAATATATCCCTTCCGCCATGCATTTCTGACAGCCAAAATAGCTAGCATGACCAACTATTCCTGAATTTGTGTTTGAAAAGTGGGATAATTAAGTTTTTTTGGGCAGTTACGAAATTCGTTTTTTCTCAAAGCTGTACCTTTAATGAATGCACGCGCCGGCGTGTCACACACAAAACATCGTATTCTCACTTTTATCGTGTTGTTTTTAATTAAGATGGGGTTTTTCAATAGGTGATTCAATTCCCTCACGAATTCACATAAAAAGTCATTTAAGACAGTCGGTTTAGTTGTACCGCACCACACAGATAAGACCATTGGTGGAATTTGAGGCATTTCTAAAGATTGAAAATGAATTTTGATCGAATATTTGTATTTTTAAAAATTACGAATTGGAAATACTATAATCGTACCAAATATCGATGCTAAAATTGGCCAGAAGCTGATCTTGGAACTGTTATACAAGGGCAATCCATCGACGTTAATATTTAGGCTGATAGATATATCATGATCGAGAGAGGAAAATATCAACTTTAGACACTTTTCCAATCCGTTATACCAACATTTCCCTCCAGCGATGTCTCTTATTTCAACATTCACTGGCGTTTGCTGTAATGTTCTGTGATTTTTTGGCACAGAAGTTATTCCATTCGAATGCAGAATAGACAATAAACTATCTACGGCCCGTTTCGAAATTCTATATGAGTTAGCCCAGTCTCTTAGATCCGTTGTTAATGTAGATGGTTGGATTTTATTTGCATTGGCCTCTATCGTGTCTGGTTCGATATTGTTTTCGACTTGATTGTTTAAGAAACGTTGACGCTCAGCTTTCATTTTCTTTCTTTGTCGGTGCATCCGAACACGGACATTTGTTGGAATTGGTTTTTTATTTGGATTCGATTTTCGACCCATTTCAAAATGTAAAAGTTTTATTATTATTCAATTTTTTATGAAAGATACAAGCATTTTGTTTGCTTTGAATGACACTTATCACGGAATAGAATATACTGAACTGTTCAGGTTCCATGTTTAGGTTGAGGTTGAGGTTTAATGTTCAGGTTCATCTGACTTGAGTGTTAAGATGCAAATCATTTGATAAATATCATTCTTCAGTACAAGTCGCATACACATCATTTATCGAAAAATGGCAAAGACGAGATCCAAAGCCCGGGATATCAAACAAGTTGATACACTAAAGCATAAATTTGACGGAAAAAAGAAGGGAAACAAAATCGAAAAAAAGTCAACTGGTGCAGCTAAAATGCAATCAGAAAAATCGGAGAAAATCCACTCAAATCAAAAGTCAGTCGACGAATTGTTGAAATTGTGCCGACCCGTTAAAATAATTCTCACAAGATGTGATGCGATGTTAGTTAATTCAAGTAAGTCAGTTTTCAAATGAAAATCATAAATAATATAAACTCATTGAATTTGAAGTGAATATGAATAGGCTCCATTAAAAATATGTCATTTCCATTTCATTTTCAGCTGGGAAAACCGAGAAATCTCTTGAAACACAGGCAAACGAAAGCGTCGCACACGTTGATACACATACTGTAACAATGCCAAAGCGACCAATTGCTTTGAACCAAAGTAAGTTGTTTAAGCAAATGGTTACACGGTTGATAAGTCCAATTATTATTATGATTGTTTGATGAAAAATCAAATTAATTCGTACTTGTACGATTTTTCGTTTTCTGTTTTCATAGCACATGTGGAGAGACCAGATGCAAGAGATAAAGCACAGAAAACTGCAGTGACCGTGTTAACACTGCAAAGTATTATCAATCAAACATTCAAACAAGAAGTTCAAGATTTCATAAGCACTGGAGATCACCTAAAAAAAGGTGACCATGTTTTAGCTCAAATGTCGGGCTATTCGGCTTGGCCCGCAAAGATTGAAGACTTCACAAAAGATAAAAAGCGCATCAAATGCTACTTTTATGGCAGTCACGATCGCGGCACAGTCGATGTAACAAAAGCAATACCTTTTTTTAACGCATTTCAGTCTATACGATTGATTAATTTGCGGAAAAAAATTGGGCCCATGAAAGATTTTGCGAAAGGAATAAAGGAAATAGAAATTGAGCAAGGTGTTCCAGAAAGTTTGAGTTCTTTGAGAGATTTTGATGCTATCGAATAGATGTAATCATGTAGCCAATTTAAATATACATTTATGTTTGAATTTACATATATATTTAAGATTGCCAAATAAATTTGCATTTCAATTCGTTTTAATCTGTACATATGTCTTTTTAAATGAAAACTCTTGAAGTTGATGTGTGATGTGTGTATGTGGTACAAATCATACCAATGTATGTCAACAACGAAACCATTTAGCGCCAAAAAAAATACACGAAACCAAACATATGGAACATCTCATAAATGTATGTTCAGGTTTTGGTTCAGGTTCATTTTTAGGTACAGGTTGAGGTTCAAACGCTCAACGAAAAATGACATTGCAAATTTGTTTCATGTCATAGTGGAGTTCTGTGCCTGCTATATCACCGACGAACCGCATTTGCGTGTGATTTATAAATTGTGATTGAATACCACAAAAAAATGTCATCAAATAATTATAGCGATAAGAATTCTTCGAATTCAGAAAGCGATGGTGAATGTGAAAGAGACGGAGCTGTTGCAGGTCATCCAACAGCGCAGAATTTTGAGAAAGAAAACGACCCAACCACTAATTACCGTGTTGGATTCAAATCTGTTTCGAAGAGGCCAATGGAGG